TACTATACAAACCGTTAAGGTCATATAACATACTTTCTATGAAACGACGATCACCGATGTTTATATCTAGAGGATATAAAATTATAACAACTCTCACCTGGCTTCGTGGCAGTCTGCTGGGGGGATAGTCCAGGTGGCTGTGTTTGTTTTCTTTGACAAGATCGTGTCGTCTGATATGGGTAGTTCGCGAAGGTGTCGTCTGCTTGTTGCTAGTTTCGCGCCATGGCTACGATACTGTTTCTCGCCTCGAGAAGGCGAACTGATTGATCTACGGTGGGACGTTAGGGCCATGTGTTATACATTGATGACGAATCAAGTTTGAACGGAAAATGCTAAGGAACTGGTCATTTATTATAGAGGATGCGGATGGGGATGGGGAGATTAAGGGATGGCCGTCATGACACAGCGAAAGAGGGGGGTCGTCAAAAAAATTTTACAACTGAGGGGAGGGGGAGGCAAGAAAAATTGCCTAGTTCTATAAAAAAAAAAAAAAAAAATTCGAATAAAAAATATATATATTTGACATTAATTAGGGACTGGCCATTCATTGTAAGGAGAGGGGTAGTGAATACAATTTACAATTTGGGGCTGGCCATGAAAAAATGTTACATAGAATGGGAGGTGGTGGCGTTTTAACACCTGGTATTGTTGAATGTTTCTCTTGACTCTGTTGTGGCAGTATTGATGTTCACAGCATGTTGTAGTATCGTGTGTAATGTGAGATCGCGGTTCATTATAAGACGATAATGGGGGTAAGGTGAAATGGGGTTTAACGTTGCGTCCAAGATTATTGCACTTATATATCTCTGTGCACGTGCGTGTGTGATTGTGTGGGGGGTGGGGGGTGGGGGGTGGGGGTGGGTGGGGTGTGCGTGTATGGTGTGTGTGCTGCTTGTACTATTCCGAACATATTTTACGGTGCTAGCCCACTGAGATACCATATCGCAATTGTACACGGATACCCCACTGAGACACGATTTACTGACTCAGAGCTGACCAGTCTTTGTTTTAGACCCTTAATGCCGAGCGCCAGGCAGGGTAACAACAAGTGCCATCTTTTGGTATGGCAAAGCTGTTGAAGGACGGGTAGTAAATGGACCTTACGTCATCACAAAAACATTTCTCCATGAGTTGATATAGGACAATTAATACAAAGGCGAAGTTTAAGGAATACACAGCATCTGATTTGTTTGCATTTTGGCGGAACAATGATAATCAAAAATATAAAAATATAAATAGTGCCTACATCGGTCAATATCATCTCAAACATTTTCTGCACACTGGTACAATTTGATATTAATAAAGCATTTTGGCAGAACAATGATAATCAATAAACTGAAAATATAAATAGTGCCTATATCGGTCAATATCATCTCAAACATTTTCTGCACACTGGTATAATATGATATTAATAAAAGCGACAAAATCTTTTCCATAATCATATGAAATCTCTGCTACAAACAGTACATCGTGCTCGTCACTTGTCATAAGAGCGAGTAATACATGCGGAGGCCACGCTCAATGTGCTATGAATGATAATACATGTTGGAGCTACTCCTTAAACAGAGTGAGTGAGTGAGTGAGTATGGTTTTAAGCCTCTTTTACCAATGTTCCAGCAAAATCGCGGCGGAGGACAACAGAAATAGGCTTGCCGGGCGAACACTAGACTACCCGACCGCCCCGACAGGGAAGTAACATCTGAGACATGCCAACTCGAGGTGCACATTTGTCAGCACTTTGAACTGATCGATCTTCACTTCGTGCTGATAATGGAATGCTTGGTGTTAAATGCAAATGACCCCAATTATAGGTTATCTCTTAAAAGTGAATGCCATTACACCTTGACGCTGACTTTTCTCTTCTTTTGAAGGGTTTGGGGAGCTAGGGGCCCTGTGTCATGTCCCCACACGTTTACAATGTGTGAAACACCTTGTCATGCAATGCATGGGTAATTTACGACCGCCCATCTTAAACAGACATGGGACATCTGTTTGGTTATATCGGTACAGATGTGGGTCAAACATGACTGTGACAGTTAATGTACCAAGATGAATAATGACAACATCAATTTGGGATTATAATTAGAAAAGAATGATTACAGACGGATGTTAAAAGAAGTACCTACATCAAAAATGTTCTTGGGTTTGTGAGAATCATAGGTATACATGTATATGATTTGTTTGTTTGTTTGTTTGTTGTTTGACGTCGAACTCAGCAGTATTCCAGCTATATGACGGCTGCCTGTAAATAATCGAGGCTTAAACAGACAATCCAGTGATTGACATCATGAGCATCGACCTACGTATTTGGCATACGATGACATGCATTTACCATTATGTGACTGGAGTCATAACATTGCACAAATCAGGTAATACGCCGACAAAAAGATCAAACTACGGACGACAAATTGGCTGGTACCAGAATTGGCGCTGAACCATGTCATTGATTTCGTATTGATGTCTCGTTTTGGGGTTTAATTATTTAATAAACAGCCTGTGAAGTTAAGATTTTTTTATGTATTTATTGATAAGAATTTACTGCAAAATGTTGTGTTTATGTAGTTTTAAATGTAAAACCGGCGTGCACACTATGCGGTTTTACACGGTGCGTGCACATTTCTTTTTCTCATACCTCCATAAACGAAGACATATTGAAGTTTGTTTGTTTGTTGTTGAAGGCCAGATAGATGGCGGCCGTCTGTAAATAATTGAATTTGGACCAGACAATCCAGTGATTGATATCACGAGCATCGATCTACGCAATAGGAATACGCTGACACGCATCAACCAATTCAGCGAGCCTTCATGTACATATACCGGTTTTGTTTCCAAGTTGTTAAGGTGTACTCTGGCAGCGCACAAGACCAGGGTTCGACTCCCGCTTAGGTACAATGAGAGAAGCCAATCCGTGGTCACAAACAGCCCGACAACGTTAAACTTTGTTTTTATATGTGTGTAAAAAAGATGTCTGAAACAGATATCCATAAAATGTTTAGGCGACTATGGTCCCCTACAGCAGAGCAGGCCTTGCCGTACATATTTGAGCACATTTAAAAGGTCATTGTTTTCTATATAATAGTTGCAGAGTAGACAGCGGTACGTGACACGCCGTGATAAACAACCACAGGTCGAACAGAGTCCTTTTCGTCCATTAATCTGGTATAGAAACCTTTGAGTATATAGTCCTTGAGTGGAGGCGCCGCAGCCTTAACACTTCAATACGATATCACAAAGATCTTTCCTCCTCTGTGATCGAAGATCTATAGCAATTAAAAGTTCTGAGTAGTGTTCTTATACACCCGTCATGCGAGAAATATACAATCCAATCACTCAGGAGAGGTCTTCAATCAGTTATTGCAAATAAAGCATCGTCCGAGCCCAACATGGTCAAGACGTAAACAGTTTATTGGCTTCGTCTTTTAATACGTGTACTTACAACAGTAGGAATGGCAATAACGCGATTCTTGTAGACACATTGGTCACTGAGTGACCATCTCCAGAATGGGTTCCTCACACAATGGAAGAATACGGCCTGCATTAGACTGGTAGTCACAGACGGTTAGTGAAAATACCACTTTGGGCGACAGTGTACATGATTATTGATTTAACATTGGGTCCTATTTGCTGCCTTTGAAGGCTGGTTACCTTCCAGAATTAGCTGAAATAGTGTTTAATAGGAGACAATTGATTAATCGATTGAATCCTTCCGAGGCGTTAATTGAAAATCAAAGTCACGTATTGATCTGAATATTGGGTGAGGTGAGGTGAGGTGAGGTGAAATGGGGTTAACGTCGCGTCCAAGATTATTGCACTTATATAGCGACGTGCATGCACGTGTAGGTGTGTGTGTCTGCTTGTACTAGTCCGGACTGATGCCGATTTATAGTGCTAGCCCACTGAGATACCATGCCGCAGTTTAACATGAATACCCAACTCAGACAAAGTATACTGACTCCGAGCCGACCAGTCCTTGTTTTAGCCCCTTAATGCCGAGCGCCAGACAGGGTAACAACAAGAACCATCTTTTAACGTCTTTTGGTATGACGCGGCTGGTGATCGAACCCCGGACCTTCCGCTCTCCGGGCGGACGCCCTATCATTAGACCACGGAGGCGGTCCTGAATATTGGGAGTTGGGATTGTATGATTGTATGATTGGCATCTTTCCTCAAAGGTTCTTTATTTGTGATGATATATATATATATATTATATTCAGTTTTAATATTGAAGAGCGGGTTAGATCCGGCCATGGACATTTATCATCCCAAAATGACCTTTAAAAGGGTTATGGCTTATCTGTCCCGAGTGAATGAAATGGAGATTGTATGCTTAAGTACCAGGGCCCACTTGCACAAAGCGATCTTCGTGCTACGACTTTCGTAAGCCTTTGTTGAAGTGAGGGCGTTACAGTCATCGTAGCCCTAAGATCGTTTTGTACAAGTGGGCCCTGGTATCTTACCTCAAAGGTTCTTAATTTGTATTAAGAAACATATAGAGAAGTATGTTTCATGTGGGTGGGTGAGTTGGGTTTAACGCCGCTTTTAACAGTATTCCGGTTATATCACGGCGTGTCAGCTTAATAGGGGAGGAAAGCCCGAAGTGATGCAGGTCTAGGACGTTTACCACTTCGGTGAAACCCACGGGTATGGTGACAAACCTAGAAACATAATCGGGGCGAACCGGGATTCGAAGCCACAATTATAGGTTTCCGGCGTGTCCAAGGGATGCAACTCTGCACAGCGAATCGCGGCACCTTAGACGACTGGGCCACCCGTGCCCCCTCAGGTCTAGACCAGGCAATCCAGTGACTGATAACACGAGCATCGATCTACGCAAATGGGATACGATGACAAGCATCAACCATGTCAGCGAGCCGGATCACCTAATACTGTTAGTCACCTCTTACAGCAAGCATGGGTTGTGAAGATATTATGCAGTGACCTGAAAAAAAAAAAAATCACGTTCCCCACCCCTTTACTGACAAAAAACAGTCAAACAGTTATACAAAATCATAATTTATTCCCGTGAATTTTACATTGGAGCCTTAAATACCATTTTGAACAATCTGTTAAATATCATTTTGATTTGGCCAAAACTTGCATATATATTGCATATTGATATATCTATTTTCAATTGGTGATGAAAATATTGTTTATTGTTCTCCCTGTACAATGACAGTCGGAAGAGATATCCTGTAAGTTAATATATTACTGAAGTGTAGAGACATGTTGGTAGAGCTTTGATTGGTTGATGGGACATCTTAGTCAGATCTGATTGGCTGAACATTATGCAAATCACCAGCCAGTCTTGGAATCATATCCTGGAGGTAAGTCCTGCAGGAGAACATATGATTTGAAAGTATTTGGACAGTTTCTTTGAAAGGGTATTACAAACTGACTTTGTTGTCAACAACCAACAACATTAATGATTGTTAAGGAAGCGCAATATAATACAAAGCCGATACTCCAGAAAATATTCTTTCTCGATTATCCAGATTCCATTGGGCATAAAAGGCAAAATAGTGAAAATTATTAGAATGGATGACTGAAAATCAGTGACACCAGAAAAGGGTGAATGTCCTGCTCTTCTGTGGGTGCAACCCTCAACCTCTAGGTATCCGGCATACAACTTATTTTGTCTTGGCTCCAATTTAAGAACCCTTGAGTCATATCAGTGTACACAGCTACAAGTACATTAGAAAGGGATTTTCACATAGAATTATCTTTAAGCTAACTATTTTGTTCTGTCACTTTTTGCAAGAAAACAAAAGACAAAATATCCCACATGCCAACCATCTGGATCGGTGCTAGGGCTGGGACGAGTCCGAATTTACTACCCGGCTACCTACCCCTCTATTACCTGTAGGTCTCAAGAGATAGGTACAAAATGTCCGATTGGGCATTTTTTTATAGGAATGGGTGCATGGTCAGAAAGAAATGCAAACATAAGTGACTTGTAGTGTAACCATAGAGTTATAGATACGTTTTGTCATTAAACAATATATCACGTGACTAACCAGCCTTAGGGTACCCGGGTCCTACACAGTACCCACCCGGGTACCCGAGCTACTCGTCCCAGCCCTAATCGGTGTATAAACAGGTACAGGTACTTGTGTATGGCTCCATGACATACCATGATGTATATATTGCTGCATAATAAATGGAGGATCAGTTGATCTAACATGGCAAACCATCGTGAAGCCATGACAACAAAGCATGAAATAACATAGGATATATAGCTGGAAAGATATTGAAAGAATCAGAGAAAAATAGGCTTCAGATATAACATATCAGAAGAAATTGTGATAGGCATCAAACACCGGCACTCCAACAGATAAGACATGATTTGTCATTTATACAAATCAATTCAATATTTTTAATTTAATTTATTTTTAATAATGCTTTTCGGGGTGAAAACCTTTTACAATTAACAGCCCATTTGTTTCAACATGAAAGTTGCAACTTCATATGATAAGTCTAGAAAGGAAGAGTGAGTGAATGCTATTTTATGCCTCCATCAGGCATATTCCAGCTGCATCACAGCCTGTGGATGAGGCCTGGAACAGGAAGACCAGTGGTTGATAGCATGAGACAAACAATGAGCAAGATCACACATTGTGACCACTCAATCCCCAATCATGGTCTAGATCGTCTGCCCAGAGAGTGGAGGGTCGGTGGTTAGATTCCCGCTTGTCATACGAAAGATGTTAAAACAGGGTACTTGTTGTGACCCTGCCTGGCACTCGGCATTAAGGGGCTAAAACAAGGACTGGGGGGTTCGGACTGTGTCTGAGTGGGGTATTCGTTTTAAACTGCGGCTTGATATCTCGGTGGGGTAGGACTGTACTGTAATACCTGCATTAGTCCAAAACAGTACAAGCACCCACCCACAAACAAGCACACACACGCACGCACGCACGCACGCACGCACGCACGCACGCACGCACGCACGCACACACACACACACTCACACACACACACACACTCTATCTCTCTCTCTCTCTCACACACACACACACACACACACACACACACACACACACACACACACGCATCCATGTCGCAATATAAGTGTGATAATCTTTCACGCGACGTTAAACCCCATTTCACCTCACCCAATCTTGTCAACTTTTAGAACAAGCATGAAGTACTTGAGACCTATTCTGGCACGCATCCCTCAGACAACATGTACAGAGCACGGAAACCTCAGGCAAGAATTACAATGTATATGTATAGGTCAGAACAACACAGTCGGCCAACACCAGTAATTGTGTTACCTCGATAGAAACGGCTTCCCCTGGTGCTGAAGAAGTAACACACACAATGTTATATCCAAACGTCTAATTGTAACATCTTTCTGTTCAGAGAAGTGTGGATGCTATCTTCTGGACAACTTGTCACAATACAAATAACTGTCAAATAACTTTAACAATGTTTAATTTCATATTCTTCACATTTGTTAAAAATTAAATGAATTCTACTACCTGAAAATATTTAACGATCAGGTGAGATTTGAATGATTAGAACCCAAATATGCTGGAAAATAAAATCGGTAAAAAGTAAAACCATCTTTCAAAATTTGAAATAATGTTATTAAATCCTGACCCAATAACATCTGTCCTCTATAGAGGGGACCTATTTACAGATAGTTCTTTGAAAATGATAAACTCATCATGATGATATAAGATATATCCCCTTCAAAACTAGTACTACTACTGTCCTGTCAGAATATTAATAAAATACTTGCACAAACTACCTCAATAATCAATAATGCCCTGTCTGACAACCAGGCAGAGAAAATTGATGAATCCAATGAAGTATTCATAAAATATCTATCATCACCAACAAAAGCAAATCACCAAATTAAATGCTTTCTTGCAGATGAAGGCAGATTTCGTGGTTTAAAGATACACTGACAAAAATTTCAAAATGTTTATCTTCGTCAAGTCTGTTAACTAGTTTATCAAAAAGCCTTCAAAATAGGTATGATATAAAGCAAATTAACCCTTGATTTGTCACTAAAAAAAGACACATACTATATTATCATAATTTGAGAAATCACACAAACAAAACATTTCTAAAAGTTACAACTGATATTTCAGTGACTGAGGAGAAAAAATGTGTAGACAGTGACCAAAGTGAAGATAATCTCCTGAAACAGTTTCCAATAAAATACACAGAAGTGGAAATAAATTTAGTTTGTCGTTTAACGCCGCACTCAGCAATATTCCAGCTTTATGATGGCAGCCTTTAAATAATCAAGTCTGGACCAGACAATCCAGTGATTGATATCATGAGCATCAATCTATGAATTGGGATACAATGATATGTAATCAATGAAGTCAGCGAGCCTGACCACCTGATCCCGTTAATCGCCTCTTACGACAAGCATAGTCGCCTCTTGTGGCAAGCACGGGTTGATGAAGACCTATTCTAACCCTGATCTTCACAGGTAAAATAAAATCACGACTGAACATTAGGATATGATATGACAGACACTTTAGTATATTTATATATTTTTCAAAGACTAGAAGATTAAAAGATGATAAAACATTCACTTGTAGTGAGTGAGTGAGTATGGTTTTACGCCGCTTTAAGCAATATTCCAGCAATATCACGGCGGGGGACACCAGAAATGGGCTTCACACATTGTACCCACATTCACTTCTAGAGAATAATTGGTTGTTGATATCATGATGGATATGACATTATGGACTGGCTAACAACCATGGGAGCTGTAGAACAATGGGAGCTGTAGAACAATTGGAGCATTCGTGACCAACTCATGTTATCCCGGGAAAAGCCGCATAGCGACTCGTGCCCCTCTCATGGCTTTTGGCGACCGGGTTCCGTCTTAGTGCAAACGGGCATACCTAAAATAATTGTCAACTCGTCGCGTTATGGTACACATACATTTCTCCATATATTATATATATTTCAGATGCAATTTAAAGCACATCTGGACATGTGGAATTATACAGTATGATTGAACACATTTGATGGTGCCTTGGGTATATTTTTAGATGCAAGACATATGTAAAATCAAAAATTATTTCTGAGGGATTCTTTGACGAAGAACTTGAAATCATACGCGCATTCTGATTGGTTTGTCGTATTTTCGCACATAACATTCATGGATAGGTTACGGAAAGAGGCGAGTAGTGACGAATGCAATTGGAGCTGCAGAACAAATAGACGAGAACTGTTCAGCATCCCATACTGGAGAAATTAATCAGAACAGTCTGAATGATAACAATGACATTTTCAAATCTACATGAACATGTACGTACAGGACTGAAGGATACCTGTCTACATGCAAATGATTGAATCACGTTTATATAAATATGAATGATCAAAATATCATTATGTCAATGTCCAATTTGATATCATGGAAAGTATCCATATACAGTAATAACATGAAAATATCAAGTATAGCATTATCATGAATCATGAAAATGTCAAGTATAGAATTATCATGATTCATGAAAATATCAGGTATAGAATTATCATGAATCATGAAAATATCAAGTATAGTATTATGATTCATGAATATGTCAAGTATAGTTGTTATCATGAAAATATCAAGTATAATATCGTCATTAATCATGAAAATATCAAGAACAGTATCATCATGAATCATGAAAATATCAAGTATAATTTAATCATGAATCATGAAAATATCAAGAACAGTAGCATCATGAATCATGAAAATATCAAGTATAATTTAATCATGAATCATGAAAATATCAAGAACAGTAGCATCATGAATCATGAAAATATCAAGACATGTGTATAGTATTATCATGATTCATGAATATGTCAAGTATAGAATAATCATTAAACTTGAAATAACTATGTACCTTTGAATCATGAAGAACCAATAACATCATTGAATCATGGGCATAAAATAGAATCATGACAATATCATTGAGACAAATCATGCAAACGTGGTATTTCCTTGACTTTCTCTTGACAGAAACGGTGACATAAATCTGGTATACAATTCATATATAATCCCAATCACATTCATATCACATAAAACATTATGTAATCACACTGAGTGGGGGAGATACAGGACGAGTGAAGGAAGGAGAGAAAGAGAGAGAATGAGGGAGAAATAAGGAAGATGATAGCCTGGGATTAAGAGAGAGAGAGAGAGAGAGAGAGAGAGAGAGAGAGATGCAACTTTACTAAGTATCATGTGTGACATAAAAGCTTCTTCTAGACAGGGAGCAGTAGTATCTAAATGTAGCATGCATTGAGAAGCTAGGGATCAAACTTCAATCAAGAAGGGTTACGCCTCTACTTAATAAAAGCCTTTTATGACTACTGCGAGGTGACATGACCTGCTTTCTCGGACTGTGTTGAAGGCAGTGTGGAAACATTCTACCTAGAGTTCTAGTTTTCATCTGTGCTATGTGGGAAAGATTTGTATTAATAGTGAAACTGTGTACATTTCTTAAATTATACCTATTTCTTTGAAATTTTCTGATGGGCAGGTTCATGAAGCTCTCATAAAATCTATCCACCAGATTTCATTCTAAGGTCTGAAAAAACGGAAACTTTTCTCTGGCATAAATGCATCACTTAAAATCTTCACATGGAGCTATTTATGTTTTGTTAATGAAAACAATGTTTCATTTCTTGCATTGTGTATTAAGTGCTTCTGTCATAAATTCAAAAAAACTTTCTTCTGATTGATTATGCTGAGTTTACTTCACAACAATAGATAAAGTTTCAATTTCAGCAAAATACAAAACAAAAATGTGACCCTCTTTGATGGTTTTCTGAAAATTAACAAACGTTCTCCTTCAAAAGTTGAAAACAAAATTATGCCACAGAAAAATCTGATGATGATGCACATATAAATATTTTGTATTATTTTTACATCACTTCAATCACAGGCACACAAGACATTTCTAAATAAATGAAAATATCTCTAAAAATAGAATACTGAGCAAATCTGATTAAATATCTCGTCTTAAAATAATTAGAATTCAGTTTAATGTATATTATGCCTGAAAATAGGAATCACATTCAAAATAAAAAATGCCATTTTGATCGCCATGAATTCTTTCCATCACAGTTCGCATCACAATCACATAATCAAATGACAGATGTTGTAATCTTCACCAAACAATCAAAAGACTTCAACCAACTGAGCTAGTCACCCAGGCAGACGTGGATGCAAAGTAGGAATACAGACAACAGACAGACATCCAGATAGACAGATATCCGGGACAACTAGCGCACCCTGTTTTTGCCTCCGGTAGCTGAACATCCACTCGAGTCACCTCCCCTTGTTGAACAGTCACAGATTTGGTCTCCGTCAAGAAACCATTGAAACTGAACTGAAACAAACAAATACAAACTTCAACTTCAAGTGCGTCCATGTTGTACAAATATGTCCCGCCTAAATGACTGCAAAACTGAATATGTCATATTGAACGTCCGTAAGTCTTATCGATCTACGTCGCTTCAAGGCGCGGTCGGGAAGCCGTTAAAGCGTTTGCTCGTCACTCCGAAGACCCAGGTTCGATTCCCGACATGGGTTCAATGTGTAAGGCCCATTTCTAGTGTCCTCCGCCATGATATTGCAGTAATAAAGTGGCGTAAAACCATACTCACTCACTCACATCACTTCAAATTTAGCAATAAACACTATTTCATATTTTGTATTTCTTATTTTGCAATGAATCCTCTATTAAACGCAACTAATTTGAGTGATATTCCAAGTTAACTTATTTTTTTATTATTTTTTTTCTATACCATAAGAGTTGGCGGCATTATTTGCGATGAATCCTCTTTTAAACACAACTAATTTGAGCGATATTCCAAGTTAACTTATTTTTTTATTATTTTTTTTCTATACCATAAGAGTTGGCGACATTAAAAAAATAGCATGCAAATTATGATTCTTCTTGTTGTCATGTCGGCGGATCTGTCAACCACCAATAACAAATTAATCATCTGAAGCTGAAACTGTTCTGGCAGCTGACCCCAAACACCTTACCTCCAACGTGTATGTTCCGGGCATCAACATCCTCCAGTACTCTCCGCGGGTAGTTGTCTTAAACACGATCTCCTCTCTGTCCTTCACTATGACCTTCACACCACTGACAGGGTTATTGTTGATGTCTGTCACCAGCCCTTTCACTCCTGCAATAGGTCAAGGTCACAGACTGAGCTTTCCTCATTCCCTCGGCACCGTTCCACAAAGCGATTGTGGCGCTAAGTTTTTCGTAAGCCAGTGTTAAAGGATGGGAGTTACGATCACATTAGCGCTAAGATGGGGCTTTGTGGAACGGGGCCCAGGACTGAGATACACAAGGTACTGCTCCAGTAGCAGTGGTCTGAACTCTAAACTCTAAACATATAGTTCCACTTATTAACGGGGCAACACTTTTCTGGCCCTATCTACATCAGTCAAACATCACACTTGACGGTATCTTGTCACTTCTTTAAGACAAAAACATAAAGGTTTAGGATATCACAACAGATAAAAGTGGCTGGCCAGTGAAGATAAGTCTTTAAGAAAATGGTTGACATGTCCACGTGCCCTACGTTTCTTTTTCAGCAATCTAGTCACAAAAATAAAAAGTTTAAACACTGATTTCACGCTCACATATTCCCATCCTAGCAACCGTCATATACTGATGACTTAAGCCTTTGCTTGTCATAAAAGTCAACTCAACAAGCCACCCATTTCACACTCACTCACTTACCCACCCACTCACTCACTCACCCATCCACCCACCCACCCACTCACCCTCACACACTCACTCACTCAGCCACCCACCCACCCACCCACCCACCCACTCACTCACTCACTCACCCACCCACCCACCCACCAACCCACCCACTCAGCCACCCACTCACTCACTCACTCACTCACCCACCCACCCACCCACCCACCCACTCACTCACTCACTCACCCACCCACCCACCCACCAACCCACCCACTCAGCCACCCACCCACTCACTCACTCACTCACTCACTCACCCATCCACCCACCAACCCACCCATCCATCCACTTACTCGCTGAGTCACTCACTCATTCATCCAACTACCAACCCACTCAGTCACTCATCCACCTACCTACCCACTCACTCATTCAACCAACTCGCACACACACAGGGCGGCAAGGTAGCCTGGTGGTGAAAGTGTTCGCTCGCCACATGGAAAGTTTTGGTTTGAAGCCCTACATAGGTACATTGTGTGAAGCTGTGTTTTGGTGTTGCTCAAAATGGAATTGCTGGTCTGTTGCTAAATGTGGTGTAAAACAATGCTTGCTCACTCACTCACTCACTCTCACTCACTCAAACATCCAACCACCCATCCACCCACCCACTCACCCTCACTCACTCACTCAAACACCCACCCACCCACTCACCCTCACTCACTCACTCAAACACCCACCCACCCACCCACCCTCCCACCCACTCACCCTCACTCACTCACTCACTCACTCACTCACTCACCCACCCACTCACTCAATCGATCACTCGATCACTCACTTACTCACTCAAGCCACTCACCCACCCACCACTCACTCACCCATGTGGACCGGGGCGGTCGGGTAGCCTAGTGGTTAAAGCGTTCGCTCATCATGCCAAAGACCCGGGTTCGATTCCCGACATGGGTACAATGTGTGAAGCCCATTTCTGGTGTCCCCCGCCGTGATATTGCTGGAATATTGCTAAAAGCGGCGTAAAACCATACTCACTCACTCACTCACTCACCCATGTGGACCAGCATGAGGTAGTTGACGAGGGCGTCCTTGTTGTCCGTCCAGATCTTGGGCAGCTCGCTGGCCATTGGGTACTTGCAGCATGTCATCTCGACCAGCACCTCCATACAGCTGGCCCGCACGTAGTTGTAGTCCTGCATTCCGCCTGCCAACATGTCAGCTCAGTGTGGGAGGAAGCCCCAAGAGATGAGGGTCCTACACATTTACCCGGTGAAATCTAAGGTAAGATTCAAGGTGAACCTAGGGTAGAACCCATGATCCTAGGATTCTTACAGGCCTAAGGGAAATTGTTTTCCACAGAGAATATTTCCATATTTGCTCTTAGACAACTGGCCCCGCCCATGTCCTTATATTCTGAATGATCTCTTATGTCCCCCTTACCTGTTACAGGGTACAAGGCCAGACCCCAATCCCCTTACCTGTTTCAGGGTAAAAGGCCATCCCCCCACCCCCTCCCCCTTACCTATTACAGGGTACAAGGGCAGCCCCCACCCCTTACCTGTGACAGGGTACAAGGCCAGCCCCCCACTCCCTCCCCCTTACCTGTCACAGGGTACAAGGCAAGCCCCCCCCCCCCCCCCCCCCCCCTTACCTGTCACAGGGTAAAAGTCCAGCCCCCCACTCCCTCCCCCTTACCTGTCACACGGCCAAGGCCAGCCCCTCATCCCCTTACCTGTCACAGGGTACCAGGCCTGGCTCCTCCCCCTTACCTGTAACGTTGAACCAGGCCAGTCCCCTGCCCCTCCCCCTCCCCCTTACCTGTCACTGGGTACCAGAGTGCCCCATTAGTGATGCCATCTTTGAATCCCTCGTCCCCGGTGATGTTGGTACAGGGAAGCCCCATGTACATGTTGCCATGGGAGAAGGAGTAGACCTTGGAGATATGGACGAAGACATCATCATCAGGACTCTTGGAATACTTGGCGACATCATCAGCTGGAATATAACATAACTTCAGTGATGCGGTGAATGGTAAGGATCTGCAATATTAATAGCACAACAGGTGAGGTTTGACTAACACCCAGTGTCTTCACTACCTACATTAGGGTACATTATGGTACCTCTACCAGGGATAGTGGACTACCCATTAGGGTAGCCCTACTATTGATAGTGGACTACCAACATAAGGGTATCTCTACCTGGGATAGTTGACCACCAACATTAGGGTAGCCATACTATTGATAGTGGACAACCTACATAAGGGATGCCTAACAGGGATAGTTGACCACCAACATTAGGGTAGCCCTACTATTGATAGTGGACTACCTATATCAGGGTAGTTCTAACAGGGATAGTTGACCACCAACATTAGGGTAGCCCTACTATTGATAGTGGACTACCTACATAAGGGATGCCTAACAGGGATAGTTGACCACCAACATTAGGGTAGCCCTACTATTGATAGTGGGCTACCTATATCAGGGTAGTTCTAACAGAGATAGTGGACCACCAACATTAGGGTAGCCCTACTATTGATAGTGGGCTACCTATATCAGGGTAGTTCTAACAGAGATAGTGGACCATCTACCATCAGGGTAGTTCTAACAGAGATAGTTGACCACCTACCATCATGGTAGTCCTACTATTGATAGTGGACCACCAACATTAGGGTAGCCCTACTATTGATAGTGGGCTACCTATATCAGGGTAGTTCTAACAGAGATAGTGGACCATCTACCATCAGGGTAGTTCTAACAGAGATAGTGGACCATCTACCATCAGGGTAGTTCTAACAGGGATAGTTGACCACCTACCATCAGGGTAGTCCTACTCTTGATAGTGGACTACCTATATCAGGGTAGTTCTAACAGAGATAGTGGACCATCTACCATCAGGGTAGCCATACTATTGATAGTGGACTACCTATATCAGGGTAGTTCTAACAGAGATAGTGGACCACCTACCATCAGGGTAGCCATACTATTGATAGTGGACTACCTATATCAGGGTAGTTCTAACAGGGATAGTGGACCACCTACCGTCAGGGTAGTTCTAACAGAGATAGTGGACTACCTATATCAGGGTAGTTCTAACAGGGATAGTTGACCACCTACCATCAGGGTAGCCCTACTATTGATAGTGGACTACCTTTTTCAGGGTAGTTCTAACAGAGATAGTGGACCACCTACCATCAGGGTAGTTCTAACAGAGATAGTGGACTACCTATATCAGGGTAGTTCTAACAGGGATAGTGGACCACCTACCATCAGGGTAGCCCTACTATTGATAGTGGACTACCTATATCAGGGTAGTTCTAACAGAGATAGTGGACCACCTACCATCAGGGTAGCCCTACTATTGATAGTGGACTACCTATATCAGGGTAGTTCTAACAGGGATAGTGGACCACCTACCATCAGGGTAGTTCTAACAGAGATAGTGGACCACCTACATTGGGGTAGTTCTAACAGGGATAGTTGACCACCTACCATTAGGGTAGCTGTCCCAGGGATAGTTCACCACCTCAACACCTCCATGGAAGTTTGCAGACAGAACAAACGGTATATCTTCAATCCACTTCATTATGTTCTGTGTCTCAATTTGAATTGGATCTGGGTTGGTTGCAAAGTAGTCAGGGAAGTTCCGATTCAAATCATATCCGTTATTGTTAAACCTTGAAATAAAGACTAAAGTCTTATTAAAGTATACATTTTAACATTACAAGAAGAAAACAGTGTTATCACTCTCCCCCACAATTGGGCACATTAGAATTGTGTTTGTTTATATAGTAGCGAATAATATGAAGCTGATGAAGACAAGGCCAAAGTTAACTTTTTTTGACAGGGGGTGCAAATAAGATTATTCATTTCTTATTCAAGTTAACTTTCACAAGGAAAAATGATTCCCGCCGACTGGCTACGGCACTGGATGATAAGCATGGTGTAAGGGCCAGCACTCTGTAAAAATACATGTAGTAAGGGATGTAACTCTGGAGAATATAATTTTCATGCCACCAAGTTTTAAACTCACTCTTAATCAGCATCTCTTAGATAAATTTGCAAAGTTTTATTCATGTAACTTCTGTAGTTTCTCAGAAAACTTGTCCCCATTGCAGACACTTATGCAGTAAAACTGGGAAACACAAAAAATATTTTTTTTAGAAATACCAAAACATCAAAAGGCACCAGTTCAGCATGTGTTTGATACATATGCAGAAGTTTCAGAATGAAATATTAAATGTTTTTTTAGTTATGCCCCAGGAAGGAATGCTACATATATTTGATTTTAAGTCCAGTTTGTTGCCAAGGAACCACAAAATATAATTTTGTAAAGAAGTATCAAAAGGCACCAGTTCACCAGGTGTTTGATACATGTGCAAAGTTTCATATTGAATATAAAACAGATTCTGAGTTATGCTCCGGAAACTAAATGTGACGAACGGAAGGACAGACAGACAGTACCCAATCCTATATGCCCCTCAACGTTTGTGGCAGGAAATAATAAATAATAAATAAATTTACTCAGACTGTAGCTGATGTGAATATTTCAGAGTTCAGTTGCCAATAGAATCTTGAAAACTGACAACATTCTTACCCCTAAAATAGTGTCATGGTAAGAAGTCAACATTGTGTTGTTAAAGAATTGTAGGCAATGTCAAACTGGAAAGGTCCCCAAAAGATCAATATTCAAAATGTTTGTTTGTTTGTTGTTTAATGCCGGACTCAGCAATATTCCAGCAAAATGATGGCGGTCTGTAAGTAATCGAGTCTGGACCAGACAATCCAGTGATGGACATCATGAGCATCGATCTACGCAATTGGGATCAATGACATGCATCAACCAAGTCAGCTGGCCTGACTACCCAAACCCGTTAGTCACCTCTTACGACAAGCATAGTTGCCTTTTACAGCAAGTATGGGTTGCTGAAGACCTATACTACCCCAGATCTTCACGGGTCTTCAAAATGTGATAACCCTGTTACATAGACTGTGATATCAAATTTTTAAATATACTTCTCGAAAGAAGTTAAAGAACACCCAATTCTTTCATATTATGAAATAATATAATAAGAATGATATGAAAGAAACGGGTGTTCTTCAACTTCCAAAAAGCCATCTGAGTGCTCATATAATCATAACTCTCATACTTTATCATCGACTTACGATAGTCGTAGCCATACCAAAGCTTTGTGGAACAGAGCCTTCGACTTCGGTTATGACCGTGTCTCTTCAGGGTTCATCATCAGAATGTTACCAGTGAGTATAATGATCCCTGTCTTACCTGCCCACCACACCTGTACAGTTGCCCTCGACGGACTTGGCGAAGCCGTCTGGATTCATGGTAGGCATGAGGTGGACGGTGGTGGTGTTGAGGAACTGGGTGATGGTGTTGTTCTCCATGTAGTTGGTCACAAAGTATTCCACCAGATGCAGCACCATCTCACGGCCTGGAACCTGGACACAGGGGAAGAAATGTTGGCGCTGCACACAGAATAGTTTCAGTGGCACAGTCATTCTTGTTTGACAAGGCAAAAACAACTTCAAAATAGCCTGCCATAATTAAAAATCCAAAACATACTGAGGCGAAAACAACTTCACATTATTCCAAGTCAAACTGACAAGGTGTCAACAAGGTGTCAGCAAGAGGTCAACAAGATGTCAACAAGATGTCAACAATTTATCAACAAGGTTCCAACAAGATGTCAACCAGATGTCAACAAGATGTCAACATGATGTCAACAAGATGTCAACAAGATGTCAACTATATGTCAACAAGGTGTCAACAAGATGTCAGCAAGATGTCAACAAGATGTCAACAAGGTGTCAACAAGATGTCAACAAGTTGTCAACATGATGTCAACTAGGTGTCAACAAGATGTCAACAAGTTGTCAACAAGATGTCAACAAGATGTCAACAAGGTGCCAACAAGATGTCAACCAGATGTCAACAAGATGTCAGCAAGATGTCAACCATATGTCAACCATATGTCAACAAGATGTCAACAAGGTGTCAGCAAGATGTCAACCATATGTCAACAAGATGTCAACAAGATGTCAGCAAGATGTCAACAAGGTGTCAACAAGATGTCAACAAGGTGTCAACAAGATGTCAACGAGATGTCAACAAGATGTCAGCAAGATGTCAACAAGGTGTCAACAAGTTGTCAACAAGATGTCAACAAAATGTTAACAAGATGCCATCAAGGTGCGAACAAGTTGTCAACAAGGTGTCAACAAGTTGTCAACAAGTTGTAAGCAAGGTGTCAACAAGTTGTCATCAAGATGCCAACATGATGTCAACAAGATGTCAACAAGGCAAGCCAGGGTTGTGGCTGGAATCCAATATTCTCCCTGATCAGGAGCAATGGTTTGTCAGCACCATGATCTAAGACTGGCATCACTTCAGGCTTTCCTGCCACATTATGCTGAAACGTCATGGCGTAACTGACATACTGTTCAAGCAGTGGGATTGTCAAGACATTTGGTGATATATTTCATAGCAGATGACGCTCAGGCAAGATCATCAACACATCACAGAATCATATGCTAGGCTAGGCGAGGCTATATGATGGCAGCCTGTAAAAGATTGTTATTGTGAGCAAAGATCCACATGGTGGGGGTATGTTGACAAGCTGTAAAGAAAGTAACTGAGCCTGACCACCGAATCAACTAAGTACCACCTACGACCAGTGGGTTGCAATTCCCCGGAATCCCCTCAGGAGAGGATTGTTACCTCGTTTCCATGCATGTTGCCAATGTATTTCACATTGGGGCGAAGCAGGGCCTGGTCCTTGGGACTCTCTCCGATGGCAATAACCCACATCTCTGCCCCTGTAACATGGGGGAAAACATAAACTTAAAATACAAACATTCCAGACATTCCAGACATTGATACTTGCATTATTAAGAACATAATTCAAACGTACATTCACACTCTTCCGAAAAGTGTACGCGTGAGTTATATCTGGGTACATTGTGACATACGTACCACCCATACTCTTCCGAAAAGTGTACGCGTGAGTAATATCTGGGTACATTGTGACATACGTACCACCCATACTCTTCCGAAAAGTGTACGCGTGAGTAATATCTGGGTACATTGTGACATACGTACCACCCATACTCTTCCGAAAAGTGTACGCGTGAGTTATATCTGGGTAGATTGTGTCAAACGTACCCCCCATACTCTTCCCCACACTGTACAGATGGGTTATATCTGAGAAGATTGTGTCATACGTACCCCCATACTCTTCCCCACACTGTACAGATGGGTTATATCTGGGTAGATTGTGTCAAACGTACCCCCATACTCTTCCCCACACTGTACAGATGGGTTATATCTGAGAAGATTGTGTCAAACGTACCCCCATACTCTTCCCCACACTGTACAGATGGGTTATATCTGGGTAGATTGTGTCAAACGTACCCCCATACTCTTCCCCACACTGTACACATGGGTTATATCTTGGTAGATTGTGTCATACGTACCCCCCATACTCTCCCCAACACTGTACACATGGGTTATATCTGGGTAGATTGTGATATACGTACCCCCATACTCTTCCCAACACTGTACACATGGGTTATATCTGGGTAGATTGTGATATACGTACCCCCATACTCTTCCCAACACTGTACACATGGGTTATATCTTGGTAGATTGTGTCATATGTATCCCCCCTACTCTTCCCCACATTGTACGCGTTGGTTATGTCTGGGTAGATTGTGTCATACATACTCCCCATACTCTTCCCCACACTGTACACATGGGTTATATCTGGGTAGATTGTGTCATACGTACCCCCATACTCTTCCCCACACTGTACACATGGGTTATATCTGGGTAGATTGTGTCATACGTACCCCCCATACTCTTCCCCACACTGTACACATGGGTTATATCTGGGTAGATTGTGTCATACGTACCCCCCATACTCTTCCCCACACTGTACACATGGGTTATGTCAGGGTACATTGTGGATATGTTCGTCAGGAATGTTTCTACAGCCCCCTGGTCATGGTATCCAAAGTCAAGGCCATTGACACACGTGAGGTAGACCACCAAGGTCAAGGTCAGATGTACTTTCATTCTTAAATGTGATTTTCTTCTCTGAAACAGAAAAAAAATTGATGAGTGAATATGGTTTTATTCCGCTTTTAGCAATATTCCAGCAATATCATTGCAAGGGACACCAAAAATGAGCTTCACACATTAACCACTTGGCTACCACGCCACCCTTGGCCTTACTGATACAAATTTAACTTGTGTTTCATGGAGAGCACGATCCAAAACATACTTGAGATCGTACGTATTTCATGCTCAAGTTGAGCACGAAAACATACTCAGATTATTTATAACCTCTGTTTATTGAGTCAAGGCCCCGTTCCTCAAAGCGATCTTAGCTTCGATGATCGTAAGCCTATGCTAAAGTATGGGACTTACGATCACCTTAGTACTAAGATCGCTTTGAGGAATGGGGCCCTGAGTTTTAAGTTGAGGACGAAACTGGATTTGAGCATGAAATCGTCCTCGGGGAAGTTTTAAAACCTCAGGGACTGATCTCAAACGGAGACATCAGCTTTATGACACTATTGCATCAATAACATTACATAATGTTGTAAATGGTGTCATGAACAATTGATGACATCATCTTCACTTATTGAGACAATGGGTTCAGGTGACAACATAATGAAACGTGAAACAATGAACAATGAAATTACGGGAACAATTGGTGCACAATATAGCAATCAGAATGAAGCCAAACAGAAATGCACATTGAGAATTTCTGAAAATAATTCCAGCTATATCTATGCCCCTGATGGGTAACAGACTATAATATATCATCATTGACACTTGGTTTAATGAAATACTAAACCCTCAAAATAAACTAGAAAACTTCAAGGCCCTAAGTGTATTCCTAATCAAAACAGACCTAATTAAGTGCATCTAAAAACTAATTAATCTACCAATCCAAAATCCAATAAACATACAAACACCCACCTCACCCGGCTCCCTTAGTTCCCTCCTCCACCCACCTCGGCATTTATTCCAAATTTAAAAATTCCAAAAATTCAATATAAGCAACCCCTAAAAGCCCCCTCTTGGGTTGCACACACCACTTTCACCCTTTTCGGAATACACTAAATGGTCCGGTCAGGCCCGTGTGCAAAATATGCTACATTTGGAAAGCGCACGTTAAATCTTCTATATCAGTCAGTCAGACTTGGTTTACTCGGGAAATCTCAAACCATGACTTGACTATTTACAGGATAACAGGATGCTGCAGAGTTAAACAAGAAAACAGCATTATCACTATCCCCCGCAATGGGGCACATTAGAATTTTGTTTGTTCATACAGCAAACTATATAAATCATAAAAAAAGCCCTATAAAGTCTTAAGAGGAGATAGCCATTTGGGCCTCTTTACATCATAAAATGATTAAATATGAAATTAATACACACAAAGGCCCCTTCTCTGGAAAAAATAACTCCGTCTTTGTAAGTATCTCTCTGATAAGCTAACTTCAGTAGTTTCTGAGAAAACTTGTGCCCATTGCAGACACGATGCATCAAGTGATATAACATGGTCAAGAGCCGTAACTCTGTAAACAATGAGACTAATTTTTGAACTCAGCCTTGACAAGTATTTCTTTGATAGGCATGCAAACTTTCTTTCAAGTAACATCAGTAGTTTCTGAGAAAACCTGTCCCCATTGCACACACTATGCAAGGCCGTAGTTAACTATTTTGAGAAGGGGGTCAAATATTTGTACAAGTATCACTTGTCCCCGACTTGATTCAATAAAACAAAAACAAATCTAGGGGGGCAACTGCTCCCCCCCCCCCCCCCCGGCTACGGCACTGCTATGGACAAAGTTGAAAAGCACCGAGCAAGGGCCATAACTCTGTAAAAAAATAATAAATAAAATAATTTTCAAACTATGTCTTGACAAGTATCTCTTAGATAAGCATGCAAACTTTCATTTTTGTAACTTTAGCAGTTCCTGAGAAAATTTGACCTCTTGAGTACCAGATGGACAGATGGGCAGGCGGGCGGCTGGACGGACGGACGAACGGACGAACGGACGAACTCCGTTCCAATATCCCCCGCCCCACTTCATGGTGGGAGATAATAACATTCACTTACTCACTTGAACCAATTTTCCTTCGTTCCATAATGAAATCATAATGCTTTCATGTGTGTGTCATACTGGTATTACTATGTGCAGTAGATATTCAGTAAGATTATTTGTAGTGATTGTCAGTGGCAGCAAGTGGCTGAAACAACAGTAAAATGTTGAATGCTATCGGCAGCAGCGAGTGAGTGGAAATTAGAGTTACCTCCCCTGCTAGTTTACCAACATGACAGGATTGATTGTTTGAGAAGTTTTTCGGGATGGGACAGTTTCTAGAAAGCTGGCTGCACCTAAATAAGAGCAACACGAAGGCGATCCAAGGCGTTTTTGGATCTGATTTTCATCTTGTTCACTTGCGAAGTGTCAGCTTAACATAGCATGAAAATCCAAGTTAATGCATATATCCATGTATTCTCTACATGGTTTAACCCTGGTTACCTTAGTAACAGTCTTATTTTGTTACATACATTAATATCACATATTTCTTTTTTTCATATTTTAGTGCCAATCAACAGTGCAATATAAATTTCCCTTGGGATAATACAGTCTTAGCTTAGCTTAGCTTAGCTTAGCTTAGCTTCTTAGCTTAGCTTAGCTTAGCTTAGCTTAGCTTAGCTTAGCTTAGCTTAGCTTCTTAGCTTAGCTTAGCTTAGCTTAGCTTAGCTTATTTCTTTTGTATTTTTATCACTTTAGTGAAACCAACATGCATGGATATGGTGCAGAGGATCATAATCTTGGATTCAAACTCACAATCACAGGATCCTAGCATGACCAAGGGATGCAACTATGCACACACAAAATTGTGGACAACAGGTTCACATGTCATACAAGTAACAAAGAATTAGTTCAGTAATGAATTTCATTATCAAAAGCTCCAAACTAAAATACCTCCTTAAGGTCCTGTACATATACCGTATTCAACAAAAAAAGCGCCCAGGGCACTCTCAAAATGAGAAATAGGGGGCTCTTATGAGAATATAATTTTGGTGAAATTAAAAACGAGGTTGAAAGATTGTAAATTTTGTGGTTTATGCTGACAGCCTGATATGATATAAAAGAAGAATGTGTGTGTATTATACACGATAGATTTATTTTCGAGAATTGAATTGCCCATAATTAAGGGTGCATATAACAAACGAGTGCGTATTATACACGAATAAATAAGTCATGTGTACATTGATCAATCGGAAAGGGTGCTAACTGGGATTGTTCACTAGCCAATATATTAGCAAATAACGCCGTGGGTGCTTATTAGAGCGTGGCGCTTATTACGTCGAATACGGTACGTCAAACTAATATTGTCAATCTTTTATTACCTGCTGTAGTAACAACTTCAAGAATTGTTTGTTTAGGAACTTGATGGAAATATTATTATTACTTGCCAAGAAACAAAGAATGACAAAAATCAGTTGCATAATGCACTGCAGCACATTTTCTTTTTATTCCTTAAAATAACACTTTGTGGAAGAAGAAAGCAATGCACAAATAGTTGGCCAGCAAGTAGAGCCCATGTCTACAGCTATACAGCAGACAGCCTATGGGTGTCAACAACACTGAGCAGTGCCACATGGAGGTCGTAATTCTCCACACATTCACCTACACGCACAATGGGCAAAAACAATGTTGTTGTCATTCCTGTGCGTTGTAAACAAACATCATTCCAGGTCCTGAGTGAATACCATGGTATATTTGTTTGTTTGTTGTTTATCGCCGCACCCAGCAATATTCCAGTTACATGACGGCAGTCTGTAAGAAAATCGAATCTGGGCCATACAATCCAGTGATTGACGTAATGAACATCAACCTACGCAGTTAGGATACGATGATATGCATCAACCAAGTCAGCGAGCCTGACCATCCGATCCGTTAGTTGCCTCTCACAAGCATGGGTTGCTGAAGATCTATTCTAGCCCGGATCTTCACGGGTCCAATGGTATATAGAAAGAATTAAGTGACACTCTTTGTCATCATATAGGTGACAAATCTTGTTTTTAAAATACATTTATTATGAAATTTTCAAATCATATTTTTTTTAAATTATGAATAATAATTTGCATATTTATAATACTGAGTACTCCAAATCCACACCCAAAGCATGGTCACAGCACTACATCCTTACAATCAACTCTGATTTCGGGAGGGATTTCTTATGAATATGGAAAGGGTTTTGTTGCTTTTATTACAATGCGCCAAATCAAATTCATCAAGTGAATGTTGAGGGCAATAGGTTATTTTTACCACAGTCAATGGATCAGTGTGCACTGTTTTCATTCTCAGCTCCCTGGGGAGTATACCACTAAAGCCGCTTGTGAGGCACTAGAAGGTTAACAGTCATATTGCTTTCTCATCCTACCAGGTACCCATTCACTGCTGGGCGAACAGAGGCACATTTCGAACAAAGTCACTTGTCCAGGAAGAGTTACATGTGCTACATGTGCTTCAGTGTGGGGCAGGACCGAAGCCCTAGAAACTCTCAGGAGTCAAGCTGCCGAACACAGTCACCCATCCAACTACTCTCCACAACCATGTTGCTTAACTTCATTTGATTTGTGACCTGTAAACTGTGCACAGGACCATGTGCCACCATTTACACAGAGGATAACATTTCATAGAGGATTGTCAAAGAAGCAACCTAAAGTAAATGCAACTTCTATTTACTAATGTTCTAGAAATTAATGAGTGTGTGGTTAATGCCACTTTGAACAGGGGGGCATGGGTGGCACAGTCGTCTAAGGCGCGCGTTTCGCTGTGCAGAGTTGCGTCCCTTGGGCATGCCAGAAACCTATATATGATCGTGGGTTCGAATCCAGGTTCACCCTGATTATGTTTCTAGGTTTGTCAGCACCATACCCATGCTTATGGGTTTCACCGAAGTGGTAAACGTCTGAGACCTGCATCACTTCGGGCTTTCCTCCCACATTAAGCTGACACGCCGTGATATAACTGGAATACTCTTCAAAGTGGCGTTAAATC